GGGTGCAGGGGTTGGGGTTTGGGGAAAAGGGTGGTGTCTGGGAGTACAGGGGTCAGGGTTCAGGGAACAGGGCAGTGTCTGGGGCGCAGGGGTCAGGGTTTGGGGAACAGGGCAATGTCTGGGGGTGCAGGGTTTGGGGAAAAGGGTGGTGTCTGGGGGTAAAGGGGTCGGGGTTTGGGCAGGAAAATCAGGGGAGGGGGCTCAGAGAGCTTGGGGGATGGAATCTGGGGGTCAGAGATATAGAGGGGGTTTGGGGTTTCTGAGGGGTGGAGGAGGAGAGGGGTGGAAGAGAGGAAGGGGAGGGGGTCAGTGTGGGGGAAGGGTGATGAGGGTCAGGAAGACGATTTGGGTAGGGGTTCGGGGACATGCTTTCCCCTCCTTGCCTCCACCCACACTAACCTCTCTGCCTCCATCTCCCCCGCCCCCCCAGCCTGGATGGGCCTCCAGCCTACAAGCCGCCCCCACCCCAGAAGAAGATTGAGGACCCTGAGCTGGTAGGTGCCACATCTCTGCTACCTCCAGGGAGCAGGGGGGATGTATCTAGCGGGGAGCAGGGTGGGGGCTGGGAGGCAGGACTCCTGGGTTCTCTCCCCGGCTCGGATAAGCAGCCCAGCACACTGCTGGCTCTGGCCTGGTTCAATGTATTTGGTTCGTTCCAGGTCTCTAATCCCCCCGAGGCTGAGAACATCCCACTGAAAGCTGTCTACTTCGAGCCCAGCATTGCGGCAGATCCCACAGAGCCGGTAATTACTGGGACGGGGTGGGCGGTGGAGGGGGATCAGGTGCCCAATCCTCTCAGCTAGGATTACACCTGACAAGAACAACCAGCTCGGATTGGAAACTCCTCTGGGAATCTCTGCCCCAGCTCTAACCAAAACACCCCTCTCCCCTTTCAGAGCTGGGGACAGAACTCAGGAGTTCTGGCTCCCAGCCCCCACTGCTCTAACTCACCAGACCCCACTCCCTCCCAGCGCCAGGGATAGAATCCATGAGTCCTGGCTCCCAGCACCCCTCACCCCCACTCTATCCTACTAGACCCCATTCCCCTCCAACAGCTGGGCATAGAACCCAGGAGTCCTGGCTCCCAGCCCCCCTGCTCTAACCCACTAAACCCCACTCCTGTCCCACAGCTGGGCATAGAACTCAGGAGTCCTGGCTCCTAGCCTCCGCTGCTCTAATCCACTAGTCCATCCATTTGTCTGTGAGCCCAGAGGATCCCCTAGGGGTCAGTGACCCTTCTGCCCACCCCATCTGTCCATCCATCTCCTTGCAGGACCTACCGCGGTACCACGAGCTGCCTACGCTGGAGGACAAGGAGCCAGCGGCAACAACGGGGCTCAGCCTGGAGGATGAATACTTGGACCAGATCAACCCAATCTATGACGCCCTGTCCTTCGCCTCTGGGGAGGGTGCCCCCGAGCAGGGCTTCATTATGTCCCGGGCCTTGTACGTCTGACAGCCTGGCACAGATGGACACATGTCTTCCTGGATAGACAGACAACTCCCTTCCCCACTCCCTGCAGCTCCCCCGGCCCTGTACTTGAGACCCCAATGTAGGTGCTCCCTGGGGTTTTGGGGAAGTTCTCTGGCCTGTTATATGGGACATCAGGCTAGATGATCCCAGTGGGCATTTCTGGCCTTGAAATCTATTAGTCCCCACCCCCACCACTCCCTGGGATCCCCAGTCTGGGACAGACACATGGCTCTCGGGACAGGTGTACAGCTCCCTGCCCCACCCCCACTGCTCCCTGAGCCATGTATGTCTGAGATTGCCCCACCCAGACGGACACAGGGGGCCCCTTTGAGACGCCTGGCTCTGCCCACGGCTCCCTGGACTGACACTGGTGCCTGGTTCACCACCCCAACTGGGCTCCTGTCCTGTCTGCTCCCAGTGGGGTCAGTGGGGCTGCAGCCCTCAGCAGGTCTGGGGGTCTGGCCTGAGGGGGGAAGCAGGGTGTTGGGGCCTGGGAGAGGGGTCTGGAGGCCTCAGTGCCAGAAGTCTGGATTTGCCAAAGGTCAGAACTCATCCTCCCCCTCTCCATGCCAGGGGAACAGTCTCTCCTTGCCTTGCGTCTGAGCCATGACGGGCGGGAGGCAGCATCTTCCCCTGTCCGGGCATGAGGGTGACTGTAGCTACTGTAGGAGCAGCTCCCTGCTGCTGCTACTAGTGGGAGGGTGTGTGTGAGAGGGGGTGGGGGAGTAGAGTCGCTGTGGGGCTGGTTCCCTGTCCACACACCGGTGGGTCAGTCCATTCACTGCTGCGAGGAGCTGCCATCTATTGCAAGAAGCAAGGTGGGGAAGATGCAAACTCAGCCTGGATTCTCTACTTGAATTTCATCATCGGCTCCGACAGGATCCCTGCCTCAGTGACTCCCCAGCCCAGCTGAGTTGGGGGCCCTGCAATCAGCGCCTCCTCCCTCCTGCTTCTGAGCCCTGTCCCGGTCCCTGCTGTACAGCCACCTTCCATGGGGGATCTGATAATGTGAAGGTTTTCTTGTGTTACTAACTTGATTGGTCTCTAAATAAATCCACTGCTGCTGCTGCTTCTTTCTCCCTCCACACGGGTGTCAAATTAGAGATGGGGGGTTAGCAGCTTCTTTTTGTGCCTTTGCAGACACCCTGAGTGAACAGGGTGATTAGTGGGTTCAGTACCACTACTGAGCAAATGGGCCTGGGGCTTTAGCTGCTGCCCTGGTGCCTTTGGAACCACTACTGAGTGACTGGGTTTGGGATTTTAGCTGGTGCCTTCGGAACCACTACTGAGCGATTGGGTTTTAGCTGGTGCCTTCGGAACCACTACTGAGCGACTGGGTTTGGGGTTTTAGCTGCTGCCTTCAGAACCACTACTGAGCGACTGGGTTTGGGGTTTTAGCTGCTGCCTTCAGAACCACTACTGAGCGACTGGGTTTGGGGTTTTAGCTGCTGCCTTCGGAACCACTACTGAGCGACTGGGTTTGGATTGGGATTTTGTTTTTTGTATTTGCTGTTTCTTAAAATAAATGTTTCTAAACCCGTGCTGGTGGCATTTCTCTCTCTTTGGATGGGAACAGCCACAAGAGCTGCTGTCTTGGGAGTGGGGGAGGGCAGTGGGCAGGGCCTTGAAACTGACATCCATGGGAGGGGGTAGCTATGAGTGGCAGGATGCTGCTGGGGGTGAGCCTAAAATCCAGTGTCCCTCTGGACTCTGGAGGACCCCCTATGAATGTTATGTGGAGGAGCTGGACACGGCCATGCTCTGGTGGGAGGGGCTGGACACTGACATTTTCTGGGTGCTGCTGCACTTTGCCATTTTAGGGCTCTGAGGGGGAGCTTGGACACTGCCATAATCTGGGGAGTGGGCTGGACAATGACAGTCTCTGGGGGACCCAGGGGGCTGAACACTGCTATTTATTTATTTTTATTTTTTTATTTATCGGGGGGGGGGGCGGGGGAGCTAGACACGGCTATTCCCTGCGGGGGGCCTGAACACTGCCATTCCCTGGCGGGAGGGAGCTGGACACTGCCATTCCCAGAGGGGGGGAGCTAGACACGGCTATTCCCTGCGGGGGACCTGG